CAAGCAAATCGTTCCAATTGCGATCGTACCAGTAACCGTCTGATTGTATATAATGAGAAGGAGGCAAAAAAAGTTATGTGGTCATGTGATGAGAAATGGAGCACTGGAAAATATTGTGACGACTGGAAAGATCACTGGTAGAAGAGGCAGAGGCAGACCAGGAGAAATTATGGTGGTTGGCTTAAGACAGTGGCATGGACGAATATCATCAGTAGAATTGATCCAGAACACCAAAGTGTATGTATACTCAGTGATTCAATGAGTATGATCCGGAGGGTTCAGGCAGGTTCAGTGCGAAGACAATGGCTTGAATCATTACAGAAGTCCACTGTGCGTGGAGTCACCTTTATTTTTGTTCCGGGACACGCAGGCGTCAATGGAAATAAAAGAGCTGACAGGTTGGCTGGATCCGCTATCACTACCGACGGTCAGCCTATGGATCATGCTGATATTATCAATGCCCTCAGAGAAATGGGAAGGATAGAGGACTTTGGTGGCAGTGAATCCACATCACTCGCCAGAATGGCAGACTTGGGAATTAAGATCGGCACAGCAAAAAACAAGACGCACACCAGACACTCCAGAAGACTTGTTAATCAACATAGAACTGGTACTATTAGCCATCGGTCGTTGGGGTTCATACTGAGGGGAGGAACTGAGCACCTATGGACATGTCCGGAGTGCAATGAGGATAACCCAACTAACTAACTGATTGAGATCTGTGGCGACGCATAAACGCCTACGCCAGCCGGCAAGGCCCTAGATGATGAAGCCACAAATGCAAGGACAGACACATTGGACTAGCTTTAGCAATGCAGGGGCTAACAATACAAACAATCTTTGACACAGCACCTGCAAGCAAGTTCAGGTACAAATATTGAGGTAATGCTGGCCACACAAAGGTATCTTTCATTAATTTGTCATTCCTACAACACAGCAAGTGGTTATACTTTTTGTGGCAATATTTAATAAAAACATTTTTGTTTCAAAACCATATGGGATCAAAAGAGTTAACTCACAATAGCATTAGAATAAATCTTTCAAACCAAATATGTTAATATTGAAAAGCAGACTACCTTAGTTAGTTAGCACCATTAGTCATTGCCTGTTTGACTTACACTCGAGTGGCTATCGTGTGTGTATTACATGCTTGTGTGAAACATGCCAGTTTGTCTGTCTTCACTTCCCTGCTTTGGCTTGCTCATGTGCCCTGCATGAACCACACGTTTTTGTTTTGCTTCATCCAACCAGGCAATGCACACAGCGATAGTGAAACCAGCCTTAGTGAGTACTTGTCTCTTTGTCTGCTGTTTTACCCACAAACATGCACATTAAAAAAAGATAAAGTCGGGAGATGCGAACCAGCGTCATTGCACACGATTTTAAACCATAAGTGCTCTGCCATCAGTACAGACAGCTGATAAGAATTGTCCGCCTGTGTCGCTGTTCGCACGTAACTCTGTAGCTACAGCGGCGTTCCTCCATTTACCCCAGAGTGTTAACTATGGTACCCATCTCCTAGAGACTGGGTGAACCCCGGGAGCCGCCCGGTTTCGAACACCGACCGTTGCTGCAGCGAGTCGCAGCTGGATTTGAAAGCGAGCTTCTTATCGACTGCGCTAACGCGACCCCCTCTGCCCTCTTTCCCATTTGAGTCACTGTGGTGTAGTGGCTAGATACTCACCTACAGATACACAGGTCATAGGTTCAGATCCGAATGGAGCCAGACTGTTTTTCAGTAATGAACTTAGTTCCCAGGTCGACCTAGCCTAAAATGGGAACTAGGCAAAGTCATGGGAAGTAAAAGCGGCTACAACACCCACTGGGCTGATTGCCTATACAGTATAGATCTGGCATTATTGCCAGGGAGCGAACCCACGACCGTCTGATCCACGGCGAGTGTCTAGCCGCTGGGCCGCGGCGACTCCCAACATGACTAGTAACAAGTGTATAGTCCGCGGCAGATTAAAAAAAAAATATTGGTTTGCATGTCTTCGCTGTTTGGGAAACTATGTTTTGTTGTGTTTATTTAAAGAATTAGTTGGATTGCTCTTCTTCTTCTTTCTGTTGCCTTGCCTCTTCCTGCAGAATATCTTCCAGAGCCTCAACAGAGGGCCTGTAGAGGTTCTCTAAGGTATTTATCATTGAGGTGGAAGAAGGCAGACTTTTCATCAGGTTACAACTGGTACTTTCAGCATGTCTACTCTTCCATGGCTACTGAAGAAGGGGACGGAGCACGTGTGGGAATGTCCCGAGCACAGTGATGTCAATTTATCTATTCATTCTCCCTGCTGAAGTGACTAAACACACACAGTGACCAGAAATCTAAAAATTAAAAAAAAAAATGTCTTTATCAGCAAACAAAACAACAGCAATGCTCACCTGCTGGCTTGAGGGTCTGCATCAGTCAAAATTAACTTTGTCTCCCAGGTCATTTCAGCCTTAAATGGGTACCAGGTAATGTCCTGACAAGTAAAGGTAGCCAGAGTGATGCTGACCAAATCACGCATCAAGTGCCAATCTTTCTACAAAAATATGTGTCTGGTATCATACATCCGAAACACCACTGGCATAAAAAATGTCCACAGATCCTGTCTTCAATTGTTAGTTGAGGTTCCAACATCCGTCAAGACGTCTCGCCCCATAACTGCTCCGTTTCAGTGCCGGTGGAAGTCACACAGAATGTCCTTAACTGTCCTGTTTGAAAACTAGTGAAAAACTTGTCAGTCCCAGCAGCATCTTGAAGAATGAAAAACTTGTCAGTCCTAACAAAATGTTAAAGCTTGCACAGGCAATGTAACATTGCATAAGACAGCTGTCAGATGTACTAAACGACCCCACACCAGAATTTCTGCTCACTGCTGGTGCAAAAGATCAGTCACAAAATTTGGCATTGCACCAGCAAAATACATGCCATTCTGAATATAACCAACCATTTGAGTGTAGTCAACAACACACTGTGGGAACAATACAAGAAGACTTCCACATGAAATCCACAGCTTACGATGTTGCAATTTGCATTTCACACAGTAGCTGGGCGATAGAACCTTTGTGCTTTTGGTCCATAAATGGGGAATTAGCCTAAACTAAAGTCGGACAGAAAAGAATAATTTCTCAGAGCATCAGCAGTCAGCCGGCTATCGGCTATTTTGGCCTAAAGTGTGTGCGTGTATGTGTGTTCACATCCTGTACAACAAGAGGGATCATAAAGCACAACAAATTTCCGAGAAGATGATATATCATGGAAATGTTAAAACTAGGAACAGGAAGTAAAAGTGCCTTTACAGGTCAATGGTGCGTCTGTCATATGAAACTAAACTCATATTTTTCTTGACCGGTCAGCCCTCGTTGGCAGCTGTTGTGGTCAACGTAATGCTGACTGCCTCTACTTCCCAGGACTCTACCTGGTACCCATTTAAGGCTGGAATGACCTCTGAGCTAATGTCATGTTTGGAGGGGAAAAAATTCCGGCTCCATGCCGATATGAACCCATGACCTTCGGATCCGCAGGCGAGCTTAGGAACAGGAAGTGCTATTGCAAAATGAAACATGAATAGAGGAATGGGATAAGAGTATTTGTGTTGAAATATACATTTTCTTCTTTTTCTGTTACTTATGTTTCCTCCTCCTTAGCAGCCGCTGCTGCCCATTGTCCCTGATGGAACATAGACCCCAAACTTAGGCTCTTTACTGTTGCATGCAGCTTATCCTTTGTCCTCCTTTCACTTTCCTTGTCGTTGTTTTTGTTGACGACTGTTGGCATTTAAAAACAGTTGACCCCTTGCTATTCCAAGACTTTCAGGAGAAAACCTTCCCCTGGACATGCTTCATCAGCAGCGGGATAACTGCAGCACTGGTGTATCTGTTGGCCTGCTTGTACATTAACTGTATCATTGATGTGTGAGATCACAACACTTTTCACTCTTTCAGTTTTAAGTATTGTGTGATTAACTTCTGCCTGTGAGCCTCAACCCATACCTAACCCTAACCCAACCGTATCCCTAACCCAACCGTATCCCCAACCCATCCCTGGCCCTAACTCCAGCCTTAACCCAACCCCAGCCTTAACCCAACCCCAGCCTTAACCCAACCCCAGCCTTAACCCAACCCCAGCCTTAACCCAACCCCAGCCTTAACCCAACCCCAACCATAACCCAACCCCAGCCTTAACCCAACCCCAGCCTTAACCCAACCCCAGCCTTAACCCAACCCCAACCTTAACCCAACCCCAGCCTTAACCCAACCCCAGCCTTAACCCAACCCCAACCTTAACCCAACCCCAGCCTTAACTCAAGCCCAGCAGTCTGCTTAGAAATAAGCTAGAACAAAAATGTGTAAATCGACTAAGTTTAGGTCTGACCATAATATCTTGAGCTGAAAACACGACACACCACTAATATTTTTAGCTGAAGCAAGTCAGTTCAACCTCACTCCTTTTTGTGTGTGTCGTTAGATTACCAGACTGAAAGGGTAAATTACTCGCTTAAAAATGGTATTAAAACCTGGACCATTGTTGCCAAGAAATAAACAAAACGATATGCTCTTTAACTGCACTGAAAACGAGAAACATGCTACAATTAATTGTTACATCAACACATCTCTAGCACTAAATGTATGTCCAGTGTACGTTCTGTTCTCGAGCTTATTCCTAGATTTTCATAAAACGGCACAACTTGCTTTTTCGATCTTGGAGTGCCAATAGGATGGCCGGGACATACTGAACAAATGAGACTGTCCCGGTAAATTGGGATTTGTGGTCACTCTTAGTGGTTCCCCCTAACGACCTATAGAAATTCTCTTATTAAACCTTTGTTTCATTATTTCACTATGGGTAGTTTGTAAGAGCATTAAGCAACCTCCCCAACCCCAACCCCAACCCCAACCCCAACCCTCATGTTTTCTTTGTGTCTGCCCCTGCCCACTACATCTGAAGGCATGGAAAGGGATATAATCACTTTGTAAATTGTGTATACATTAACAGTTGTCTCCTCTTGTTTCAGGGGGAGATGAGCCAATCTTGTCGTATGAAACAGTGGTACAGCAAGAGCGTAAGTTATATGTTTTTTTTCTAAGTTATTCGTTACTGTCCTGTCCTACTTTTTCAGTAAAGTGTTGAATTCGAGATAGGTGTATCAGCCATGTGCACCTGTGGAAAGGTGCCCCAGATAGCAGATCATGTACTCCAGGACTGCTCAGAAATAGACAGATTAAGGCAAACCTTTTAGCCAGAAAGAACAACTGGACCACTGAATGAACTAACAACGACAGTGAAATTTATACAGGAGACAAAACTGCTGATATAGACAACTTATTTCAGGGGAGCGAAAGAAGAAGAAGAAGTAAAGGTTATGTTGGAATTCTTTCCTTGTATGGCAGTGAATCTTAGAATTTGAAAGAACACTGGAAGAAGAAATTGGAATCCCTAAAAATGCGTTTCTGTGTGGGAAACCTTGGGCAACCAGGACGGCTATTGTCAGGAAAAAGCTAATGACAATAGAGCATTATATACAGCAGTAGGACTAACAGGTTGGTCATGTCATGGGAAGAGAAGCATTAGATAACATTGCAACTGAAGACGGTATCTGTGTTGTTGCCGGGGATGTTGGTGTGTGTTCTAAGATAGAAGTTGTCTTTTTCTTTGTTCATCTGAGTATATAAATGTGTTGTGCTTGTTTACAACCTGGCTGCGAGATTTGCGCCTTTCAGCCGACACTTCCGACTTGAGCAGGTTTTATCCCTGCTTAGCATTTCTGGTTAGCTTTATATGACATTGCAGTCTGGTTGTTGTGTAGATAGATGTCTGATGACAGATATTCCATGACATAAGACAACAAACTTATCTACATTTATTACAGGGATAGTTCAAATACTCGTAAGATGGTATATCTACATTTATTGCTGGGAAAGTTTAAATACACATGAGACAGAATATCAACATTTATTGCAGGGTTAGTTCAAAGACACATAAGACAACATATCTACATTTATTGCAGGGTTAGTTTAAAGACACATAAGACAACATATCTACATTTACTGCAGGGTTAGTTCAAAGACACAAGACAACAGATCTACATTTACTGCAGGGTTAGTTCAAAGACACATAAGACAACATATCTACATTTATTGTAGGGATAGTTCATAGACACATAAGACAACATATCTACATTTATTGTAGGGATAGTTCAAAGACACATAAGACAACATATCTACATTTATTGTAGGGATAGTTCATAGACACATAAGAAACAATATCTACATTTATTGCAGGGTTAGTTCAAAGACACATAAGAAACAATATCTACATTTATTGCAGGGTTAGTTCAAAGACACATAAGAAACAATATCTACATTTACTGCAGGGTTAGTTCAAAGACACATAAGACAACATATCTACATTTATTGCAGGGTTAGTTCAAAGACACATAAGAAACAATATCTACATTTACTGCAGGGTTAGTTCAAAGACACATAAGACAACATATCTACATTTATTGTAGGGATAGTTCAAAGACACATAAGACAACATATCTACATTTATTGTAGGGATAGTTCAAAGACACATAAGAAACAATATCTACATTTATTGTAGGGATAGTTCAAAGACACATAAGAAACAATATCTACATTTATTGCAGGGTTAGTTTAAAGACACATAAGACAACATATCTACATTTATTGTAGGGTTAGTTCAAAGACATAAGAAACAATATCTACATTTATTGCAGGGTTAGTTCAAAGACACATAAGAAACAATATCTACATTTATTGCAGGGATAGTTCAAAGACACATAAGAAACAATATCTACATTTACTGCAGGGTTAGTTCAAAGACACATAAGACAACATATCTACATTTATTGTAGGGATAGTTCAAAGACACATAAGAAACAATATCTACATTTATTGTAGGGATAGTTCAAAGACACATAAGAAACAATATCTACATTTATTGTAGGGATAGTTCAAAGACACATAAGAAACAATATCTACATTTATTGCAGGGTTAGTTCAAAGACACATAAGAAACAATATCTACATTTATTGTAGGGATAGTTCAAATACACATAAGACAACATATCTACATTTATTGTAGGGATAGTTCAAAGACACATAAGAAACAATATCTACATTTATTGTAGGGATAGTTCAAAGACACATAAGACAACATATCTACATTTATTGCAGGGATAGTTCAAAGACACATAAGACAACATATCTACATTTACTGCAGGGAAAGTTCAAAGACACATAAGAAACAATATCTACATTTATTGTAGGGATAGTTCAAAGACACATAAGAAACAATATCTACATTTATTGTAGGGATAGTTCAAAGACACATAAGAAACAATATCTACATTTATTGTAGGGATAGTTCAAAGACACATAAGACAACATATCTACATTTATTGCAGGGATAGTTCAAAGATACATAAGACAACATATCTACATTTATTGCAGGGTTAGTTCAAAGACACATAAGAAACAATATCTACATTTATTGTAGGGATAGTTCAAAGACACATAAGACAACATATCTACATTTATTGCAGGGATAGTTCAAAGACACATAAGACAACATATCTACATTTATTGCAGGGTTAGTTCAAAGACACATAAGAAACAAAATCTACATTTATTGTAGGGATAGTTCAAAGACACATAAGACAACATATCTACATTTATTGCAGGGATAGTTCAAAGACACATAAGACAACATATCTACATTTATTGCAGGGTTAGTTCAAAGACACATAAAAAACAATATCTACATTTATTGTAGGGATAGTTCAAAGACACATAAGACAACATATCTTCATTTATTGCAGGGATAGTTCAAAGACACATAAGACAACATATCTACATTTATTGCAGGGCTAGTTTAAAGACACATAAGACAATATATCTACATTTATTGCAAGCTTAGTTCAAATACACATAAGAAACAATATCTACATTTATTGTAGGGATAGTTCAAAGACACATAAGAAACAATATCTACATTTATTGCAGGGATAGTTCAAAGACACATAAGAAACAATATCTACATTTATTGCAAGGTTAGTTCAAAGACACATAAGACAACATATCTACATTTTTTGCAGGGTTTAAAGACACATAAGACAACATATCTACATTTATTGTAGGGATAGTTCAAAGACACATAAGACAACATATCTACATTTATTGTAGGGATAGTTCAAAGACACATAAGACAACATATCTACATTTATTGCAGGGATAGTTCAAAGACACATAAGAAACAATATCTACATTTATTGCAGGGATAGTTCAAAGACACATAAGAAACAATATCTACATTTATTGCAGGGATAGTTCAAATACACATAAGAAACTATATCTACATTTATTGCAGGGTTAGTTCAAAGACACATAAGACAACATATCTACATTTATTGCAGGGATAGTTCAAAGACACATAAGACAACATATCTACATTTATTGCAGGGTTAGTTCAAATACACATAAGACAACATATCTACATTTATTGCAGGGTTAGTTCAAATACACATAAGACAACATATCTACATTTATTGCAGGGTTAGTTCAAATACACATAAGACAACATATCTACATTTATTGCAGGGTTAGTTCAAATACACATAAGAAACTATATCTACATTTATTGCAGGGTTAGTTCAAATACACATAAGACAACATATCTACATTTATTGCAGGGTTAGTTCAAATACACATAAGACAACATATCTACATTTATTGCAGGGTTAGTTCAAATACACATAAGACAACATATCTACATTTATTGCAGGGATAGTTCAAAGACACATAAGACAACATATCTACATTTATTGCAGGGTTAGTTCAAATACACATAAGACAACATATCTACATTTATTGCAGGGTTTAAAGACACAGTCTCTGACATAAGACATCATATCTGTGTATTTATGGCATGGATTTTCCACTGTGTCCTTGGGTAGCAGTTTAGTGATGGTCATTCTGTGACACCAGAAGTCTGTGTGTGTTTATAGCAGTTATCTACGTCTGTACCTGAAGGTTGTGATGTAAAAGCAGACATTTGTTTACCACTACCCTAGGGTAGACACCCGCTTGCAGAGTGGAAGGTCGTAGGTTTGAGTCCTGACGGAGCCAGCTGGTTTTTAACAAAAATGACCTTGACTCCCAGGTCAACCAGGCCTTGAGTGGGTACCAGGTTCAGTCCTGGGAAGTAAAGGTGGCCGGCGTGATGCTGACGCATGGTGAGTTGCTTGGGACTGAAGGAGTTAAGTAAGTTCATGTTAACCAGTTTTTTTACTGACTTGTTTGATCGTTACAGTGAAATACACTCGGCCAGTTATCATCCTGGGCCCATTGAAAGATAGAATCAATGATGACCTCATCTCAGAGTTCCCAGAGAAGTTCGGCAACTGTGTGCCCCGTAAGTTTGATCTCATCTTTTCTGGAGCATTTAGTTATGTTTTTTCTTTCATGATGTTACTCTTAGCTGGCGTTGTCTGTCTCTCATAGTATTGTGAAAATCTGTTCCATTTAGTTTTTTTTGCTAATTACCGTACTTATGCATGTATTTTTAGCAGTATTTTTACTGAAAAATTGGATTTGGCAGTGATTCCCAAACTGTGCGACGCAGCGCCTCAGGGAGCCGCAACCTCTTCACAGGGGTGCCGCAAAATATTCGAAGATACACGTGTTTTATTTTCTTGTATCTCTTACATGCGAATAGTCATACTTTTACTTAGGTTAGGGAGCCGTGGAAAAATTTTCATTGAAAAAAGGTGCTGTGACTAAGAACAGTTTGGCAAACACTCGAATATATTCCAGATATTAGGCCTAGGTGTCACTAGTACCAGATTTATTGATGGTTTTGGTTTAGATGACAGATCAACATCATAGCACAAAGGTAGTAACATATAAGTGCTCCGTTGTTGCTTCTGACTCAAGCCTGAGTCTGAAGAATCTCAGCACAATGCACAAACTCTGTAGCACTGGCGAGGATCCTAAAATACTTTGGGTAGACATTTAACTCCAAATTGTGCCCGGGCAGTGCCGTTAGACTAGTCTTTTCCAACTGCCAAGGAATTTTTTTTACGTGCGCAGCAATACACACAGGCGTCCAATCTTACTACCCACAGATCTGGGGGAAATTACTAGAAGTCCATGCGAAAAAATCCCAGCCAAAACCTCAGCACTCAAGGTGGATGCCTCGACACCACACATACCCCTTTGCCTAGATTTATGGATGTTTGTTTGTTTGTTTGTTAGTTTGTTTTAGTATCCAGAAGCCATGAGTTGTTAACCCTTAGGCTTGGTATTATAGATATCGCAACCTTTCGGCCTTGATTCCATTATAAATACCGTAAATCTGGGAGAAAATGTGGCTTTCCTGCCTACCCCCGGGATTGAACCCGGACCACAAGGAGTTTGTCACCCGGTCTCTGCGCAATCCGGTTTAGCCACCTTCGCTAGAGAGCCGGGCTAGATTTATGGATTAAGGAGCGTTCACTTTGGATTTCCACTTGCTCCCATATTGTAGTTGTGTGTGTCTTCTGCAACTTCAGAACATGTCTTTGAAACCAATCAGTTTCTCTTTGTAGATGTCTGGAAGTCGCTGTGCCATTGTTGTCCGCAGCTGAATCACAAGGTTATTTTGTGTCGTAGAGCGCCTTGTCCAGCCGTTACTGTTTTAAATTTCATCACCATCCTCATGTGCCCTGCCAGCTGGCGTAGGCCCTCATGCGTCTCTACAGATCACGATCCCTGATTGCCTTAAACAGCTTCCTTGATGATATCCCTCCATGCCATCGTTTGAGCCCATCCAGCATCGTCTCTCTTGGTCTACCTCTACCCCCTTTTCCACTGATCTTTCTAGTTGTCACAATATTCTCCAATGTCTCTCTTCTCATTATGTGGCCCAAGAACAGTGTTTGTCTCTTTCTTACTGTTGTATATAGAGATCTGCTTTCAATAGCTTCTTTCAAGCAATCGTTGTTAGTTACTCTGGCTGTCCAAGGTATTTGGAAAATTCGTCTCAGAAACCTGTTCTTAATTTGTTCACTGACATTCCAAAATATGCTGCCATTCAGCAGAACAGGTTCTATGTAACATTTTAGCACCCTCTTTCTGACATTAAATGGGAGCAATTTATTGCATAAGATATTTTTCATTTTGTTTTAAATTTACTTGCACATAATGCAACTTATATTTACAACTGTAACTTGCTCTTTACCTGGCCCGCCCTTCACTGCTTACATGTACTACTGTTTCTGTGTTGTTCTCTCGAGGCCAACAACGAAAATATTTACATGATTTTATAATGCTGAATCGTTTAGACATTGTTTGGCAGACTTTGTTTAATTCCACAAATATTTTCAAATGTGTTTCATATGTGGGACATTTTTCTTGTACAAACAGACACAACAAGAGAGAAGAGAGCACACGAAGAAGACGGGCGAGACTACCATTTTGTGTCCTCCCGTGAGCAGATGGAGAAGGACATTCAGAACCACCTCTTCATTGAGGCCGGGGTTTATAACGATAACCTGTATGGTACTAGCGTGGCTTCCGTCAAAGAGGTCGCCGAACAGGTGAGGGTTTTTTCCCTTGGGACCTTTCCTTCTTTCTAGACCAGTAGTCTCCCCTATTTATTTATTTTTTTGTCTTTTTTTTTGAGGTAGTGTCCCGCTTGAAAGAAGCTAATGAAAGTAGATCTCTATATACAACAATAAGAAAGAGACAAACACTGTTCTTCGGCCACGTAATGAGAAGAGAGACATTGGAGAACATTGTGACAACTGGAAAGATCAGTGGAAAAAGGGATAGAGGCAGAACAAGAGAGATGATGCTGGATGGGCTGAAACGATGGCATGGGGAGATATCATCATGAGAGCTGTTCCAGGCAACCAGGGATCGTGATCTGTGGAGGCCCATGAGCGCCTACGCCAGTTGGCAGGGTACATGATGATGACTGCCCCGCACCCATCATTGACTATATGGCTAGACCGGCACATCCTGCTCTTTAACGTAACTATATGATCAAAAAGAGGAGGAATGTGTTCTTAATCTGTAACTAAATGCAAGTGTTATGTTAATTAGGTTTTGAACGGTGGATGTACAGACTGCTCAGGAGAAGAAAAAAGTCCTTGGCTTTTTTTGTTGTTGTTTTTAGTAAAATAAATATTTTATTTATAACAAAACTGAAAATCAGTGTTATTGTAACGGATTAATACAAGTAAAAAATGCTTGATGCTGCCCTGCAACTTCTTCACGTCCTCATGGATTAGGGGGGGGGGGGGGGGTGGGGCATGTTCGAACCACTGTTCTTGACGAAAGTCCTCACAGCCTACCACAAGACAACTTAATGCCAGGGGTGATCTTCTTGCTCTCCGTAGCATAACAAAGCCTGGACAGTTTTGTAGAGACCATGTGTAGAATGGAATTGCTTTTGAAAACAAATGTTTTGGTTTGTGAAAACAAATAGAATTGTTTATGGGAAACAAATTGAATTGTTAATGAAAACGCATAGAATTGTTTATGCAAAGATATAGAATAGTTTAAGAAAACATAGAATTGTTTTTAAAAACAAATAGAATTGTTTATGCAAAGATATAGAATTGTTTATGCAAACATGTAGAATTGTTTATGAAAACATAAAGATTTGTTTATGCAAAGATATAGAATTATTTATGAAAACATATAGAATATGAAAACAATTAGACTTATTTATGAAAACAAAAGAAAATTGTTTATGCAAACAGATAGAATCGTTTGTGACAACAAATATAATTGTTTATGAAAACCATTTTATGTGAGCACACGACGACCTCTTCCGCAGGGTAAACACTGTATTCTGGACGTCAGTGGCAACGCCATCAAGAGACTGCAGGTGGCGGGGCTCTACCCCATTGCTATCTTCATCAAACCCAAGTCTGTCGAATCCATCATGTGAGTCGTCGTCGGTCCCTTTTCTCTTCTTATTGTTTCATTATTGTTGTTGTTTATTTCGTTCACCAGCTGTAAACCCCGGGGGAAAAACCTGGTTGTTCGTCCATTTATGGACTTTGGCTTTGTTTCAGGACCTGAGTTTTGCATGTGCGTCTGTTTTACAGATCTTGCTTATTTGTGTGCCTCTTAAGCAGATTCACTCGGACTTTAAAGAAAGCCCAACCTCCCCACTGCCTCCCTTATGACATGCTTGTTGGGTAGGTAGTGGGCCTACTCGTGTTTCCCCACAGTGAGACCCCAGAACCCACACAGGCAATTGTTTCTAGTTAAAATACATCAAGAGACAACAGATCAAGTGGTTTGGACATCTATCAAAACTAACACTAGAGAGTCTTGTAGCTTAGACGTAAAGGGAAGCAGACCTAGAGGTCGACCATGCAGGGGATGGATAGATGGAATGTACAAGGCTATAAATACTACCCCCTCGCTATTTTCATTAAACTTTAGTCTGTTGAATCCATCATGTGAATTGTAGGTCTGATTTCTCTTCTTACTGTTTAAAAAAAAAATTAAAATACATCACAAGTATGGGGAAACGTGATTGTAGTGAAGTTGAAACCTCGACTAAGTTTAAGAGTAAGACATTTAAATAAATCAAGAGACAACAGATCAGATGGTTTAGAGATTTGTCGAAACTGCCACCAGACAGTGCACCACAGGGAGCCCTGTCACTTAGACACAATGGAAGCAGAGCTAGAGGTCGACTAGGCAAGTTTTGGATAGTTAGATATCCGAGGTCATAAATACCAGTATTTAAGTAGCACAAACAAGGCTCTCACCCAATCCCTGTTCAAAACCTAACGCTAAAAGGCAGAAGAGAACTGGAGAAGAAGAAGAAGAAGAAGAAGAAGAAGAAGAAGAAGAAGAAGAAGAAGAAGAAGAAGAAGAAGAAGAAGAAGAAGAAGAAGAAGAAGAAGAATTGTCTGTTTTGTTTTTAGCCACACCAGTTATTCAGTTCAAAAGTTTGGTTGCCAGGGAACAAAAGTTAAATGTGTTGTAAACAAATCTCAAAGCCATATACAATCTGACAGTTACTGATGCCATTGTAATTGAAACTCTTTGCTTGCTGCTGAAGATGGGGACGGAGCGCTAAAGGGGGTGTCCCGAGTGCTGTGATGTCAATTGTTAATTCTCTAATCCTGTCAGTCAATCCTGGATGCTTTTCCTGTTTGAGGGTACTAGGCTTAAACAACAGCTGCTGTAGACTTGGGGGCTACGACTCTGCATCCTCAACCAGTCACGAAGTCAGACACAGAAGTTGCGCCTTTTTCAAAGTAATGCTGACCACATTACCCACAGAGTGCTGATGGTCTGTAAAAATATGGGACGCTCTGCCCTTATGCCCGATGCGCCAAAAGGCGTGAAAAGGGAACTTTACTTTTTTTACTTTTTTACTCCACTCATACACTTACCTAGGGGGCTGCGTGGTCTTAAGGCATGGTGTCCGCCTCGAGTGCTAGAGGTTCCAGGTTCAATCCTCGGTAAAGGCTGGGATTTTTTTTTCAACATGGACTTGGACTTCAAGTCATTCCCCCTGGTCTCTGGGTAGTGAGATCGAACGTGCGTGTGCATTGTTGTGCACTTAAAAAAATCCCTTGGCAGTTGGAAATTGAAATGAGGAGCCTGACGGAGCTGCCTGGGCAAAATTTGGAGTTAAAAATATACCCAAAAGTATTTCAGGATCCTCGCCGGTGCTGCAGAGCCTGTGCACTGTGCTGTGCTTCTTCCGACTCAGATTTGAGTTAGAAGAAGAACAGAGCACTTATGGGTTACTACCCGTGTGCCATGATGTTGATCCTGTGTTCAAACCTCAAACCTCATACACTTACCTGATACATACAGTTTTTTGAGAACCAGGTAATGCATTCTGTTTATATCTTCACTTGTTCATGTTTACTGACGCTCGACACTCAGGGGGAAGGCGAGACGGATATACAATCAGACAGTTGCTGGTACCATCGGAATGTTAACTCTTCGCTTGCTGCTGAAGATGAGAATAGAGCGCTTATGGGGTTGTCCCGAGTGCTGTGATGTGTCGATTCTAAATTTAACATTAACTTTTAGCATTTTGTTTACTAATTATCATTTTCTCCCCATGTTGGTTCCGGGGCCCCATTGTGGAGGAAACAAGATCAAACCCACTGCTTCCTCAACAAGCATGTCATAGGAGTCCACTAATTGGGGTCGTGCTTCAAAGTCAGAGTGCGTCTGCCTGAGAGGCAAGGAACCCAGATTGTATATAAAAATGTGCCAGATTTGTAAAACTCATGTACACACAAAACTCTGGAACAAGACTGAATTGAAGTCCAGAGGTGGATGAATAACCAGAACTTTCTGGAGGAATTTACAGCCGGTGAAGTGAAGAAGAAGAAGACAGAATTTTGGATTTATTCATTCATTGATTCCTCTCACTGGGGAAAGTCTGGTCTTCATCTCTGTGATATACACGTAAAAGCACTTGATGAATAGCTGCCCTAACCTTCATCTCTGTGATATACCTGTATAAGCACTTCATGAATAGCTGCCCTAACCTTCATCTTCATGCAGACTATCTTTCTGACACTGCGGTTGCTATGGCTGGTCCAGTACTGGACACAAGTGATGTTATCAATGCCATGCTCTGCACTTACTGTACCGTGCGCCAAAGGACACATGACTCCGTATCCCTATGTAGACTGATGGACATGGGAGTGCAGCCCGGAGCCGAAAGAAATGAACATTTCACTAAGGGGACAAAATTAACCAACACAGAACAGGCGTCATCAGACGTTTTACACTTGTGGAGCTTTTGAGGAGGAGATCGGATCTGTCCGGAGTGCTGTGATGATAATCGTTTCTAATCACTAGTTACTATTTACCGGTGAAACATCAACAGGTCTTGAGCTATCTGGTACCTGTTTTTTGGAGAACAAATTCTTAAGATTCCAGAAATGTTTCACGTTTTGTCCTACACATTCAGTTAATTTTAATTTATTTACAAAACCTTCATATGAATTTTTTGTTTTATTTCTTGATTCAGGGAAATGAATAAAAGGATAACAGAGGAGCAGGCAAAAAAGACATATGATCGAGCACTCAAGTTGGAAGCTGAGTTTGGAGAATATTTCACTGGTTAGTTCAGTTCTTTCTTCTGCTTATCTTACAGTTGAACTTTAATTCCATTATGTATTCCATATGTGACTTAAACTGTGGAGTCAGTATATTTGAGTGAACTGTTTGTTTCTAAAGGTTTTATTGAGCACTGTTGCTTTCCCTCACAGATTGTGTTCTGGCTCTGTGTCCCAGCCACAGTGTCCTGTGTCACCAGTGTCCATTGTCACAAATGATGTCCCATCTCACCAGTGTCCCATGTCACAAATGGTGTCCCATCTCACCAGTGTCCCATGTCACAAATGATGTCCCATCTCACCAGTGTCCCATGTCACAAATGGTGTCCCATCTCACCAGTGCCCCATGTCACAAATGATGTCCCATCTCACCAGTGCCCCATGTCACAAATGATGTCCCATCTCACCAGTGTCCCATGTCACAAATGGTGTCCCATCTCACCAGTGTCTCATGTCACAAATGATGTCCCATCTCACCAGTGTCCCTTGTCACAAATGATGTCCCATCTCACCAGTGTCCCATGTCACAAATGGTGTCCCATCTCACCAGTGTCTCATGTCACAAATGATGTCCCATCTCGCCAGTGTCCCTTGTCACAAATGATGTCCCATCTCACCAGTGTCGCATGTCACAAATGGTGTCTCATCTTACCAGTGTTCCATGTCACAAATGGTGTCCCATCTTATCAGTGTCCCGTGTCACAAATGGTGTCCCATCTTACCAGTGTCCCATGTTACAAAGGGTGTCCCATTTTACCAGTGTTCCGTTGATTCTTACCCCCAAGAATGGATACATGTCTATACTGATGGATCAGCATTTAAAGCTACCATTAAAGCAGGTTACGGAATCTACATAGGTTATCCCGATGGATCTGTTGAAGAGATTTTTGATGCATGCGGGGAATTCTGTTCAAACTATGAAGCTGAAATAATTGCACTGGAAACAGCCGTATACCACCTAAAGACTGTAATGGATGTTTACCCCTCAAAGGTCCAAAATATTGTCATCTTCACAGATTCAATGTCTGCCCTTCAAGCTCTGGAGGGCAATGAACGCTGCAGAACTGACATAGCCAAGATAATCCTGGATGCCGATCAGCTTATTACCTCATACAACATCAGAATAGTGATGCAGTGGATTCCAGGTCACTCCGGCACACCAGGTAATGACAGAGCTGACAGATTGGCAAAGAAAGGAGCAACACAAGAACAACCACCTACAGCGACAACCCTCCAGACAGCAAAAACACTGATAAGAGCTATAAACAAAGAGACTTGGTTGAACAGATGGGCCATGGGAGACACTGGAAGAGAGGTTTATAGACATATGTCTGGCCCTGATCCTAATGACAGCATTAACCATCTAACAAGAAGGGACCAGGCCACCATCTTCAGACTTAGAACGCAACATACTCCACTCAATGGACACCTAAACAGAATACAGCCACAACACTCCCCAGAGTGCCAGCTATGTAACTACCCCTACGAAACTGTTGAACACCATCTCTTTGAGTGCCCAAAACTCAGTGAGACAAGAAGAACGCTACTCCCTCCGAGACCAGACAAGTGGAACACCTTGTACGGAGGAAAAGAACAGCTTGTGAAAACATGCAAATTCCACTACATGGCATTGGGCCAAAGGGCGAAAGCTCATGCGCCGCTGGATCGATAACAACAACAACCAGTGTTCCATGTCACAAATGGTGTCCCATCTTATCAGTGTCCCGTGTCACAAATGGTGTCCCATCTTACCAGTGTCCCATGTTACAAAGGGTGTCCCATGTTGGTGTCCTATCTCACCCATGTCCTATGTCAAAAATAGTGTGCCATGTTACAAATGGTGTCCCATTTCACAAAAGATGTCCTGTCTCACCGGTATCCCATGCTGCAAATGGTTTCCAATCTCACCAGTGCCCCATGTTACAATGGTGTTCCATGTCACCAGTGCCCCATGTTACAATGGTGTCCCATGTCACCAGTACCCCATGTCACAATGGTGTCCCATGTCACCAGTGCCCCATGTCACAAATAGTTCCTATCTCACCAGTGTCCCATATCACAAACGGTGTCCTTTCTCACCAATTTCCACATGTCAAAAATAGTGGCCTATGTCAGCAGTGTACCATGTCACAAATGGTGTCCCATGTTATAAATGGTCTGCCATGTCACCAGTGTCCTATGTCATCAGTGGTGCCCTACCTCACCAGTGTCCCATGTTACCAATGATGTACCATGTCACAAATGGTGTCCCATGTTACAAATCATGTCCCATGTCAGTGTTCCATCTCACCAGTATCCCATGTTACAAATGGTGCCCAGTGTTACACACGGTGTCCTATGTCACTGATAGTATCACATATAAAAGGTGTCCCATGTCACAAATGGTGTCCCATCTTACTAGTGTCCCGGTCACAAATGATGTACTGTTACATATAGTATCACATATAAAAGGTGTCCCATGTCACAAATGGTGTCCCATCTTACTAGTGTCCCGGTCACAAATGATGTACTATGTTACATATAGTATCACATATAATAGGTGTCCCATGTCACAAATGGTGTCCCATCTTACCAGTGTCCCGTGTCACAAATAATGTACTATGTTACATATAGTATCACATATAATAGGTGTCCCATGTCACAAATGGTGTCCCATTTTACCAGTGTCCCATGTCACAAATGGTGTCCCATCTTACTAGTGTCCCATGTCACAAATAATGTACCATGTTACATATAGTATCACATTTAATAGGTGTCCCATGTCACAAATAATGTACTATGTTACATATAGTATCACATATAATAGATGTCCCATGTCACGAATGATGTCCCATCTTACTAGTGTCCCGGTCACAAATGATGTCCCATCTTACCAGTGTCCCATGTCACAAATGATGTCCCATCTTACTAGTGTCCCGGTCACAAATGATGTACTATGTTACATAAAGTATCACATATAATAGATGTCCCATGTCACAAATGGTGCCACATACCATCAGTGGTATTCTGTGTCACAGATAGTGTCCCATTTGATTTGCTGTAGAATTTAGAATTGGTTGTGTGCCAGTTTTTTCTCTTATGACCGGACACCTGCTGTTATCTTCACACAAACCTTTATAAATATTTAATTATTGTATGATTTCAGTTTTATGTTAGGCACATCAAATCACCCAAAATGAGTTGAAGATGTGAAGTGGTAATGTGTTTTCTGTTCTCAGTTTGTACGGCAATTTATTTAATTTGTTTCGGCCAAAGTTGATGAACTTTAGATTGTTTTTTTTAGCATATTGTCTTTAAGGGCAGATTGACGTAATGAGGTTACTATGCCCAGCTCTGTTTGTGAAGATTTGATTTTACTTAGTTTGGATTAAATATTAACAGTTAAAAAAAAAAAAAATCCAGATTGTTAGGTAGTGAATTGGACATATGACCTTCTCGAACAAGGGTGAGAAGCCAGAGAGACCTGTGTAGACTTTCATTGCCATAATCACATGAAGAGAAATCTCAGCACAAAACACAAATTCTTTAGCTCCAGTAAAAATCCTAATCTGTTTGTACGAGAATAACAAATTTTAATTTTGAATTAAGCTTTGAAAAAGCCTTTTTGTCATTTTTGTTTGTGTTTGTGTTTTGGTTTTTGTTGTTGTTGTTTAATTTTAAACTGCCAAGAGAATTTCAGCATTCGCTATGTGTACAAAAATCTTCTTAGTTTTTCCTCCTTATCTGAAAATCCAGATAAATTAACCACTACTTTTGGATCAGGTGTACCGCACATTTTTTATTTAGTTGTGTAAAAATGCACTGTTTAATCAGAATTAAACTTAGTTTGCTCAAGTTATAGGCAGATGTCATAACCTCTGAGCCACTCTATCCCTACTGCTTTTAATGTCAGCTGTTATCTTTTATGGATTGTTTCCGTTCTTGATAATTGTGAATTTTAACTCTCTGAATTGATTCCGGTACTAATATTTTAAAACTGTTTGAATTGATTTCGTTCTTGATAATTTTTGCTTTTAACTATCTGAATTGATTCTGTTCTTGATATTTGAATTTTAACTCTCTGAATAGATTCCGTTCTTGATAATTTTGAATTTTAACTCTCTGTATTGATTCCATTCTTGATAATTTTGAATTTTAACTCTCAAAATTGATCCTGTTCTTGTTGGTTTGGATCTTTTATATTTTTGGATTGATCCTACTTTTGTTGATTTTGTACTTTTATCTATTTGGATTTATAATTGTGTTGATTTTGAACATTTGTCTTTGTTAATGAATACTGCTCTTGTTAAAGTTTAATTGCATTTTGTTGTTTGACCTTCAGTGTTGTTGATGATTTACTCCACAGCTGTAGTTCAAGGTGACTCAGCAGAAGAGATTTACTCAAAGATCAAAGAGGTCATCAGCGACCAATCAGGGCCTCACATCTGGGTTCCGGCCAAGGACAGACTCTGAGGTCACGCCTGCTTCTCTGCCATCCTCGTTATTATCATATTCCATGTTGCTTTCATTGCCACAAGCTGTGTGATTATTTCTAAGGTTTTTTTCTGGTGACCGGTGTTTGGTCATTGTTGGTGTCGTTTGTTGTTTGCCTGTGGAGAGAAACTGCAGCTTGATTCGACTACGACAAAAAGTTGTCATAATATCTGCTAGCAATTATCACCTATAAAACAGCAGTCATTTTCATTGTAAATATTCATTACTACACACACAAAAAAAAGAAAAAAATAAGTGAGAAAACAAACTGTCATTACTGTCAGTTTTACCACTTTTTAGGGTGGTGTAGACAGGGGGGCCTTGAGACTGAGGATTTAGGGCTGTTGCCACCAACTTCTTCTTTTGTTCGCATGAAATAAATTATCTATATCTGCAATTCTGTCTCTAGTATGAACTTCACTGTCTTTTGTAATTCACTAAGCGGCCCGTAAAGTTTGACTTCCACAAGTGTCTCTTTTGGCCAGAAGTTTTGCCTGGAAGCGTTGAATCTGGGACAGTCTTGGAGGATGTGATCTGTTGTCTCAGGTGCCAGTCCACAGGTACACATAGCTGATTAGCCAATCTTAAATTTGTTGTACATGTAGCAGCGAAGTCGATTATGCCCTGTTCTAAGGCGAAGGATAATGACTTGCTCTGGTCTGTCCATAATATGGTAATCGTCTTGTGCCAGTTTCGGTGACAGCCACCAACTGTGCAAGTTAGAATGTCTAATTTTGGCCCCCAACGGAAGAACTCTGATTACCTAACCAGGGTTCGAACCTGGGTCTCACAAATTAGAGCCAGACGTAACCGCTCGGCCAGCCACTGCTCATTATTCATTGCAACCACAGTAAAATGCTTGTATTCATTGAACAAATAAATCTGCAGCTAGATAATTGAAAATTATCATCTAATATGCATTTAACAGTGTTAATTTGACGATAACAATCAGTATTTCATTATAAATATTCATTACTGCCGCAGTAATATGCTTGTACTCAGTTGAACAAATAAATCTGCAGCCAGAGAATTAAAAATTATCATCTAATATGCATTTTAACAATATTAATGTGACGAGAACAATAAGGGTTTTTATTGTATGTAAATGTTCATTACTGCCGCGGCAATGTGCCTGTACTCAGTTGAACAAATAAGTCGGCACTTGAAGCATTAAGAAAGTCTTTTTTTCTTCTTCTTAGCATTTACCTGCTGTAAACTCCAATGGAAAGTTTTGGTTGTTCATCCACTTCTGGACTTCAGTCTTATACCAGAACCTGAATTTGGCTTGCATATCCATTTTGCAGATCCGGCTGTTTTAAGATCTGGCTTTTTAATATCCAAAATCTTGGTTGCTGGTCTGTCAGGGAGATGCCCTTTGACTTAGAAGGAAACATCCCTAATAGTCACCTTTTAGGACATGCTTGTTTGGGGGTTGTAAGTATGTCCGCCCCCCCCCCCCCCTCGTCCTCAAATGGAGCCCGGGGAACCCACGTAGGAAAGATTTAAAAAAAAAATAATAATGTTCTTCTAGGCTGTCGTCTTCTGCACAGTGAATTAAGAAAAATGTACTGACCCATTGCATCAAACACAACCCCGACTTATGTGGAACTCAGGGGACAGGTCACAGTTCATGTGTACTTGTCAGAGATGTCAATTGAAGGAGAAGAAGACAAATCTACCAACTCCTCCTCAAAATGGGGCCCTGAAAACGACAGCATTTAAAAAAAAAAAAAGTAAAAGTAAAAGAGCCTTCCTGTACCATTAATGCATTGCCCATTATGTTTTTAGACCAGTGTTTGGCAACTTTTTTGTGTGTCATGCCCCACCTAAGCTTTTCTAAAATTCTTATGCCTTTACTTAACATTACCAAATGGTTAACCTAAACTCTGCGTGAGTCCATTTTCAAATCGCTCCCCCCCCCCCAATTAACCTCCCCCCCCCCTCTTCTTCCTCTTCTTCTTCATGTCCTCTTTTACCACTTTGAGTGTCAAGTGAGATATAAGGTCCTGCTTCGTGCCCTTCTGGCTTCTTTGACCATAAACACATCATAGTGCTGTAGAGTTTCTCTGATATTATCTTTCCCTCTTGTTCTTGGTCTCCCTCTTGCTCTACATTTTCCCCTCTTTTGGTATATGCCTTGTATGTTATAGCATCAGAAGGCATTCTCTCCAAGTGGGCAAACCATTTGATTTGTGCTGTTTTTGTATGTAATTTAGAACTGGTTCTGTGCTGACTTTATCTCGTATGACCTCATTCCTGATTTTATCTCTTCTGGTCACTCCCACAGTCATTCTCGGACATATCATTTACGTGGTAACTTCTTTTCTTTAATGTTTTGTTGTGAGTGACCACGTCTAGCACTGGTAGCCTTAATAATTTCTCCCCTTCATAATCAAATTGCCCCCCTCCCCCTCCCCCAGGTTGGGAAACACTGTTTTTGACGCATTTTTATAGAACACTCAGTGGATGATGTGGTCAGCGAACATAAAGCTGAAACAAAACTGTATGCAGATATCAAAGACAGCAAGATGAAAATCTGAGTGTCCACGAGGAAGAGGTGGTCAGAGGTAGAGGATATGTACCTGCTCCACTTTCTTGGTTGTTGGAGATCAAACCTGTGTACGGAATGTTACTGTGGTCAGTGCTTCAGTCTGACACACGTGATCAGACATAATCCTGGTCAGCTGTTCAGAGTCATGTCTTGTTTACAGCTGTTCAGAGGGTTATGTCTGATTTTATAGCTGTTCAGAGTCATGTCTTGTTGACAGCGGTTCAGAGGGTTATGTCTGATTTTATAGCTGTTCAGAGTCATGTCTTGTTTACAGCGGTTCAGAGGGTTATGTCTGATTTTATAGCTGTTCAGAGTCATGTCTTGTTTACAGCGGTTCAGAGGGTTATGTCTGATTTTATAGCTGTTCAGTCATGTCTTGTTTACAGCGGTTCAGAGGGTTATGTCTGATTTTATAGCTGTTCAGTCATGTCTTGTTTTCAGCGGTTCAGAGGGTTATGTCTGATTTTATAGCTGTTCAGAAACAGATTTACAGCAGTTCAGGAAACACTTTCACAGCTGTTCAGAAAGTCATACACAATTTTACAGCTAGTCGGAGAGTCTTGTGTTGTGTAATTTTTTTCAGTTGTTCAGAAACTTGCATGGGCTTTAAGGCTGTTTAGAGAGTTGTTTGTTGTTTTACAGTTGTTCAGAGAATCATGTCTCATTTTACAGCTGTTCAGTCATATCTCATTTTACAGCTATTCAGAGAGTCGTATCATTTTACACCTGTTCAGAGAGTCGTGTCTCGTTTTACAACTGGTCCGAAAGTCATTTGTCATTTTACAGCTGTTCAGAAAGTCTTGTGTCATTTTATGACTGGTCAGAGAGTTGTTTCTCATTTTATGTATGGTCAGAAAGTTGTGTGTAATTTTACAGCTGGTCAGCTAGTTATGTGGAATTTTACAGCTGGTCAGAAAGCCATGTGTAATTTTTACAGGTGGTCTGAAGGTCATATGTGGTTTTACAGCTGGTCAGAAAGCCGTGTGTAATTTTTACAGGTGGTCTGAAGGTCATATGTGGTTCTACAGCTGGTCAGAAAGCCGTGTGTAATTTTTACAGGTGGTCTGAAAGTCATATGTGGTTTTACAGCTGGTCAGAAAGCCGTGTGTAAATTTTATAGGTGGTCTGAAGGTCATATGTGGTTTTACAGCTGGTCAGAAAGCCGTGTGTGTAATTTTTACAGATGTTCTGAAAGTCATGTGCAATTTTATTTTTGATCAAAGTGTTGTATATAGCGACTGCTTATGCATTTAACCAGTTTTTCATATTTTATGTTGAGAATTTACTTTTTAAGAAATGTTTTTTTTTTTCTTCATTTTTATCACAGGATTTGTCTTTACGTTGTGGATTTCCATACATGGTTTGACCCCAAATTTCTGTGTCCCCTATAAGAAAGAAACAAAGAATGGTAACATTATAACTTGTCATGCATGTCATAAGAGCCATCTAAGGTACAGTGGTGTAAGACTGGCTGACTCGTCACATACAAAATGGCCAGCAGAGCATCAAACAATTGTACGAGAGCCCTGGCAGAGGTCATTGAGGGACCACACTTCTTCTGTCCTTCATCCCCCAATGAAGCATAGGCCTTCAGCTAATGTTTTTTCAAAATCACATAAATTATATACTCCTCTAAAAGATTGGAGGTTTGGACCATAGACCAACATCATGGCACATGGGTAACCCATAAGTGCTCCATTCTTCTTCTAACTCAAGCCTGAGTCTGAAGAAGCTCAGCACAGTGCACAGGCTCTGTAGCACCAGCGAGGATACTGAAATACTTTGGGTAGATTTTTATTTCCAAATTTTTGCCCTGGCAGCACCGTTGGGCTACTCTTTTCGATTTCCAACTGCCAAGGGATTTTTTTTTACATGCGCCACATTGCACACAGGCATTGGATCTCACTACCCAGAGACCAGGGGGAATTACTAGAAGTCCAAGTCAAAAAAACCCAACCCTTACCGGGGATTGAACCCGGAACCTTTAGTACTTGAGGCAGACATCATGCCTCGAGACCATGCAGCCCCCTCCTCTAAAAGGCTGTAAGTTAGAACTTTAAACATTTTAAATCTTGATTTACCAAATGAAAAAATATTATTATGTCATCAAAAGATATTCCGCCTAACGAATAGGAATTTTGTGAGGCCCCTCAAAATTGTGAGGTCCTAGGATGTAGCTCATTAATCTATGCCACCCACATACAAGACAGTGACTCTGTGTTATTGGTTGTCATTCGTCATATTTGTAAAATATATATTTTATTTACTTTTCTGGGTTTTTGAAAATTGTAAATATGTTGTTGGTTGTCCATCACATTTTAGAGGTAAACATGTGATGTGGGTTGTCTGTTTATAATTGAGAGGTAAATACATATTTAGGGGTTTTTGTATGGTTATCTTCTTCTTCCTCTTCGTGTTCACCTGCTTT